ACTACTGCGCGCATGGTTAAACCCATGGTACTACACCATGGTACTACGATAACTGACAGGATTTGTCCTGAGCACTAACACTTAGCCTAATTCCATGTTTTCATGTTTCGAGGACGACCAATTTCATCATGTTTCCCCATTTTAATGAACATTTGCCAGTGTTTGGTGCCTATCATATTTCTAAAAGCACCATTCGTTGGGGATAGGACAGCATAGCGGTGGGAAGAATCTCGATGATGAAGTCGAAATCATAGTGGCTCTTATCATTCCTCACTGGCCAACAATTTCCCTTTCCGGTGAAACTCGAGCGTTTAGCGGTGGAAGCAATTCCGACCGCTAAACTGAGGGATATTGCTAGGAATAGAAATTTGGCCACGATGATGTGAGCATATACGGAGTCCCAAAAGCCGTTGTCGGACACTGACAGAATTTATCTCCCACCTTTAATGTTCCGTGAGCACCCCTGAATTACTTGCTGGAGCAGTTCCACAGTGTTGCAACAACTCTGCTGTGAATTTTCGGGGTATCTTATCAGCTCTTATCATATCCTGCCACAAACCAATAATGGTCCATCCTGCACACTATCTTGCCTCTTGGAACCGACGTCCCGTTGTGCTGGTCGACGTTGTGAGTTAGGTGTCTCTACCCTTCTAAGGCTCCTTATGGTATCTTATCAGCTGTTATCAATTCCTGCCACCCACCAATAATGTTCCCATCCTGCCCCCTATCTTACTACTTGTATCCAACGTCCGGTCGTTGCTCTGGCCGGTGTTATGAATTAGGTAACCCACTCTTTCTGAGGCTCCTTATGGTATCTTATCAGCTGTTATCAATTCCTGCCACCCACCAATAATGTTCCCATCCTGCCCCCTACCTTACTTCCTGGAACCAAGTCTCATCGTTGCTGTGGCCCGCGCTATGAATGTGGTGATCCTCCCCTTATAAGGCTGCTCGCGGTATCTTATCAGCTCTTATCAGTTCCTGCCACCCAATAGTGTTCCTGCACGACCCCCTACATGACTTATCAGTTTGAGCGCTCTATCACTCTTTTGAAGGAAGTTATGAATTTCCGGTCAAACACACATACACACACACACACACACCAACAGACAAACTTAGCGGATTATATATAGTAGGATAATTTCAGTTATTTCGGATTAATTGATGGTTGAAAGTTTTCTACTATTTCTTTTACATATCCGAGTTCTCTACAAAGCGAGTTCCGCTACTCTGGACTCAGCACACTGAGACCTTTGCGCTGCTCGATACTGGCTACCGCCCTCATTACGACCCCCCCCCTCTCCTGGCGGCCAAATACGACCCCCCTATGGGGATTCCTCAACCAATGCTGTGCCCTGATTTCAGTGCCTAGTGCGTGGTTTGAAGAAAGCAAGCGGTCCATCAGTTTTGAGCTTGGAGCGCGATCGAATCAGATGCACGATCACGTGAGCGATCAACTGGCGTCGCGAAGTCTGACGCTGCCTCAGATGATCTCGGGATGTGCCTTCAACGCACTCATGACGGCACACTGAATGACAGACATATATGAAGCGGAACACCAAGTCAGTCGTCTGTGTATCACAGTGGATTTGTGGCAGACGTCAGTTTATACTTCTACGCTCTAGAATGCTAAGAGCAGTAGTCTCCCTACATACAACGAGAATCAGTCTTTACATGAGGCACAAACAGGAAAGATCAAGAAGCAGAGAAATATGGAAGATAGGAGGTATCGGTGGTGAATGCTTGTCCTTGCAGTAGCCGTTACTGTGCATTATGATGAAGGTTTCCACCGCTGGAAACTGCTCTGTCGAAGCACACAGTGCGATTATGATCACAAAATTTGTTTTCACGCTGTATCTCATGGGTTGTTGATTTCCCGTAGATTCATTCTTCTACTCGCATTTTTCCGAAACGGTTGCGATATCTTTCGCCTGCTTTTCCGTTTACCCTTCTAAGGTGAGACCGTTACTGTAAGCACGTAATTAGTTTAGAAAGGCAGAAACACGTCAAATTAAGCGCAGCAAAACAAAGGCGATTAAGCTCATGTATCTGTCGGTCACAATTTAAGATCGACGAATAGTCCTGCCGTTGCCTCACCCCACCAGCCCATCCTTCGACGCTAATTTTGAGCTTGCTTTCAATACATGGCGTTGCAAGATCAATATTTTATGGTCGATTAACATTTTGGTGCGCAAGAAACAACCTACACTATTACCATCGATAAAATTACTAACAAATCGCAATAATTTTTGATTGCGCTTGAAAAATGTTTGCTTAATGCAGTGCAGCAGTCTGCTATCCTACTATATATAATCCGCTAAGTTTGTCTGCTGGTGTGTGTGTGTGTGTGTGTGTGTGTGTGTGTGTGTGTGTGTGTGTGTGTGTGTGTGTGTGTGTGTGTGTGTGTGTGTGTGTGTTGATAAGATACCATAAGGAGCCTCAAAAGATAAGTGTCACCAAATTAACAACAACAGCAGCGGTGTAACGTTGGTTCCAAGAAGTGAGATAGAGGGCAGGATGGGGACATTCTTGGAGGGTGGCAGGAAAGTGATAACAGTTGATAAGATACCATAAGGAGCCTTAGAAAGGGAAGGGTCACCAAATTCACAACGCGCATCACAGCAGCGGTAGAACGTTGTTTTCAAGAAGTAATATATGGTTCAGGATGGGAACATTATTGATGGGTGGCAGAACGTGATAACAGCCGATAAAGTACCATAGGGCTTTGGGTAACTTGCGAGGAAGGGCCTCAACATTCAATGCAAGAGTCGGAGCAGCAACGGGGAGCTGTATCATTACTTTGCCTGCGACTGAACTCGACCACCGCGGCCCAAGAATTAATGGGCCAAACCTTAGTGAGCAGAGATGTTCCTATCCCTTAGGATGTAGTCGGAATTGATCCGACCGCTAAACTCTCGAGTACCACCCAGAAGTAAAAGCCTAAAGTTGTTTGCCAGTGAGGAATGATAAGAGTCGCCAATAGACCGATATGTGAAAGCTGCTCACGGAAGTACTAGGATGTAAGAACATTTCACTATGATTTCGATATTGTTACCATTGAAACTCTTTCAACCGCTAAGTTGTCCCATTTCCAACGAATGGTGAGTGTTGTGATAAGCACCATACGTTGGCAAATGTTCATTAAAGAGGAGAATTATGATGAAACCAGTCGGATCACCCGGCTGCCGCCGGGTGCTCCTCCTTCTTTGTCACGGCCCGGCTTCGCCGGGCCGGCCTGGCTTCGCCAGGCACTCTTTCCTTAGGCGAGGTAGAGTGTGCAAAATACGCCTAACCGTCACAGTGCATTTTCCAGCAAAATGTAGAAAAATAATTGAAAATAGCTCGAGCAATGGGTTAAAGTTGAATCAGGCCAGAGGATCGTGCAACATACAGCGCTTGCTAGTTTCGAAAGAGACACAGCTGTGGAGTCAAGGACGCCACTGCAGAAGAAGAACTCCACTTCGTTCCCTAGGTGAGAGTGTGTGCCGCACGGGGAGCCCTCATGTTACCACCGACGGGAAGGTCCTCCTCAGAAACGCTGTTTTAGAACTTCTTTTTGGATTGTATGAATTTCTCGATTTTCTCGTTTAAGACGCACAATATACCTCTGCCCCACCGTCGCTCGACATCACAGCATCTGTGGTAGTACACCGATATTTTTTACTGGATGGTTTCGATTCTGATGACATCAAAACAATGAACTACACTGAGCTTGTAATGTCATAATATCTCATAATATCCTTTTGTCCACTTTTTCCCGGAGTCTGTACCAAAACTGCATGACCCTCTCACGAAAATTCAGCAGCCTGTTAGAGCCTTTGAAGCATCCTACCGCTTGATGCGTTCTCCACCACTGTAGGGTTTTTTTCTGGAATGCACTCCCGCATTCGGGCAGTTTAACGCTTCGAATGGTCCTCTCTCAGGTTGTTGATGAAAGATAGTCATAGTGATAAAGCCAGTTGCTGCTGTTCATGGCAACTGAGTAAACAACCGCCATGCTTCTGAACTCCAGTTGCTTTAGCGGCCGTACATGATGTCGATAGCGATAAGAGCATAGGAGTGAGTTGTGTACGAACCACTGAGAGCATGACACCTGGCTCTCAGCAGTCCAGATCAACGCATTGTGGCTGTAAGCGGTGTTGCGGATTCCCGTATGATGACGCTTTCAACATTTTCGGTTGCTGTCACTTAGTGTCACCCGTCAGTGGGTTTCCGCCCCTCCCCTATACCCCTCCTTTGAACCAAGATCCCATAGACCCTGCAACCTGTCCTACGGAAGTTGGCTGACCTCCGCCATCTAGCAGGTTCTTATCGAATATTATCAGGTGTTATCACGTTCTGCCACCCACCAATCATGTCCACTTCCCTACCCTTACACTTCTAGAAAGCGTCTACGCCCCTTATCAAATCTTATCAAAAGTGTGTCCTGCCGTGTATATCAATTCTTGATATCAAGGTCCAACGGTCGCTGAAACCTGCGCTACTGACCTGGTGACCCTCGGCGTCTAAGGCCCCTTATCAAATCATATCAGATGTTATCACCTCCTGTCACCCACCAAAAGTGTTCCCGTCCTGCCGTGTATATCACTTCTTGAAATCACGGTCCCGCAGCTGCTGCAACTTGCGCTACGATTTCGGTCACCCTCCCTTCTGCAAGGCCTTATCGAACCAGTACCATAAGTTTAAACCAATGCGTAGTAGTGTGCGTCCAGCCCACCTGGCCATTTCGGATTTTTCTGTGGGCATGAGACGCCTTTTCTCTTCTAGCTTTCTCTGTTGCTGTAAGGCGGGAAAATGACTGGTTCTAAGCAATGGACTATAGCGAGTAATGCACAGCTTACTCTAATACGCTCCTGTCCCTAGCGCCTCTACTTGACTACCAAGGCAATTTTTTGCGTGTTGTCCGGCTCTGCAGCAGCTATGTTGAAATTACCGCTGCAAAAGGATGAAATTCGAACTTAGAAAGTGATGGGTTTTTAGATTCAGTTCCGGGACCTTCAATGGATGCGTATGAAAATTTGGGGCCCGTCCCCGGACAACCACATCCGGTCCCTCCACCAGTCGAGCAAGTTCTCCCACTGAGGTCTGTTTATTCATGGAGAGTTCAGACAATTCAATGCTTTTGTTCGTAGTGATGCTCTTTAGTTACCTCACTGCGACGAAAATAGTGTTCACTTATGTACACCAGTCCACGCTGGTGACCAACATGTGCCTGTGTGACTTTCTTCCTTGCTGTTCAGTCTTCTCCCGTGACCCTTTCTTCCCATACTTTCCTATATGGGAAAAAAACCCCATACCATAGAGATGAGATCCCACACTTTTCACTTGTTCACGTGCTGTGTAATGGAGAATGAGGACGTTTCCCAAGGTTCATTGGCAATAGACCTATTTTTAGGCACAATGACAGCGTTCGTTTGGACTCTGATGAAAATACTGACAAACAGGAATACCAGAAAAAAGTGAACAAAGAGGAACAGCCGAAAAACTACAGTTGAGAAACATTAAGGATTACTCAAGGAATTGCGCAAGTGATTTTTCCCATTTCAGAAATTCAGAAAAGGTCGATCAAGCTCAACCAAGGTCCAAAAAACAGTAGAACTCCTAAATCACCAACGGAGCCTCTGATACGCACGGAAAAATCATCTGCTCACAAACGAGAGGTGTGAAGTACTCGAAATTTAACTATTCTACAGTATGTCCATCCTAATACACTCTAATCACACTAAGTGTCTGTACATGTCGTGCATGCCATGCGCGCGCGTGCCTGCAAGCCTGCTTGTGAGTGAAATACAGAGTGTGTGTATGTTGGTGTGTTCGTTTGTGCAATTGTTAGTTTGTTAGTATGTGAGTTTGTTATTGAGTTAACCTATTAATTTTGCGCGTTTGTCACGAAATCCGCAGAGCTTGCCGTTCGTTCCAGCAAGAAGCAGTATAGGGGACAGGCCTGAAACACTACACGGTGACGGGATTTGATAGCACCCGTTAGGATGTCATGAGGGAGAGGAGCTCGGGTGGGTTACAAAGGGATGACTGTTAAGATAGTAGTGCGGGTCGCACTCTCTCCGGGGTACGAAGTACACCGAGCATTTTAAAAGCTCACGATCTGTAGATTAGGATTCTTTCTGTCAGTAATTGATGTTCATTGATCGAAGTAACTTGTTCAGCGATGCTACCTGCTCATAGCACTTAATGTAGTTGCTGTTATTTTCGTCTTCGCAATAACGACAACGGTGATCGGCGTCCTTCATATTTTCGAAATCCTCTCATTGATCAAAGTATTCAACCCTAAGAATTGTCCTGTCCTGTGAATAATCAGCGTTGTATTGTGTAAAAATATGACATTGTTTAGCACTATTATTGTCTTGTTGTAGTATCATTCTCTGTGTCAATATGCAATTCTTCATTAAACATAATTTTACAAAGTTTCAACTTAAATGTGAGAGACTTCGCTCTTGTAATGGAAAATGATAGACTATGGGCACGTTCCTCGTTCATTGTCTTTTCACACGCTTCTTTGGGCATGCCTTCTCCAGGAAATTCACTATTCTCCCAGCAGGGCTCATCGTTGATGGGGAATCCCCAATAGGGGGGGGGGTCGTATTTGGCCGCCAGGGGAGGGGGGTCGTATTTGAGCTGGAAAATTTATTTCGATAGTTGATTTTTCTCGCTTCAAGGACGTTGTAAAGGGAGGGGGGTCGTACTTGGTCATTTTTGGGAGGGGGGTCGTATTTACGTTTTGGCGTTGTGGGAGTGGTGGTTGACTTTTGGTGATTTTCCTGTTTCATGCGTACTATATGCGGTCCTAGGCGACTGCGGTTCGTCATCACACGGTTTCGCAGGCATCTCGCCACACGGACTCTTAGCAACTAGCTCATGTGAAGCTTTAACAACTTCTTTTTGTTCTGGAATCCGATGAGATTCCGCAGGGGCACGTTTGGTTCAACTGGAGCCTTTTCGGCTTGTGCTCCAACTTTTCCTATCCATAACCCTTTCACTTCTGAAATCGAGTTTGCCGCCCGACTTGTCAGTGAGAAAAACGCTTTTTAGAGCCAAAGCTTGCTCGTTTGTGAGTTCAGGGTAAGCTACTTTGACTTCGGGATTTTTGTCATCATGTGAGACCTCCTGTGCAGGTTTGGCAGCTTGCGGCGTTTCTGGGTTGACTGGCCCAAGAGTTTGTTCACCGGTCTCGGTAATTGTTTCTTCCGAGACTGAAATTTTGTTAGTTTGTAGTCACACTTCGGACGAAAGACAAAAAGAAAACAAATACAGAACAGGTACAGTCGTCATCCGGTGATTTGATTCATTGCGGCAAGGGACGCGACGCGGCTGCGGTGTGTTGCGAGCGCGGCGATCACCTGTTTCCAGCCTATTTTGGTCATTTTCTCCCTAGTTTACGCTGATTTTGGCTGCTTTTCTCACAATTAGTTGTTTCTTTCATGATTGAGCTTCTTCTGGTTTTTGCGGACAAGTAAACAGCTAAGTAGACAATCGAGGCAAATAAGCTGAAAAAAAATCGCAAAAAACACTATTAGCCTCTGGGTAGATCGGTAGTCGGAAACTTAGTTACTTAGCTGAACAGCGACGTTCATTGAGCTTTATCATTGCAGGGTTCGCCCACGTGCGCGCGCTGGAGATATAAGGAGCCGTCGTGACTCATACGGGTTCGTCTTCGCCTGCCGCCTCCCGCTCGACTAGATGAGACTACCCGCCTGCTGCGTCGTCGCTGCCGGCACGTTTCTACTGTATTCTGACTTACCCCTCATTGGGGACTTATCTAATAAAGATTGATGGCTACTCGCGGTTTCACATGAAGTTTGGGGGAAGGCCTGAGGAATGGAATCCTCAAGCCTATGATTCTTTGGTTCAGTCGTGTCTTTAGAGGAGAGGTCAGGAGTTAGTGAGAGAGCAATTAAGTCAGGCAACACCGCAGGCGAGTCTTCCCGAGAGGCATGATAGGTGTGAAGTGAGATCTTTTAAGAACACCACACACCCCAACAAGTGGAAAGCCGGTGATCAGCTTTCACACTATCAATCATAAAAGTTTAGTGACTGGGCCATTAGACGACGGGCAATGATATCTAGATAGAACCGAGCGTAGGTGCACACTGCGCGTAATAGAGGAAAAAAAAGTCAGCGTAAATTACAAGACGAATACGTTCCCTGCTGTTATCACAAGAATGCTGAGTTGTGGGCAAAAGTCGGACCACGGGCGGGACTCGAACCCGCATCTTCTGCTTACCGGGCAGTTGCGTTACCACTTACGCTACCGGGGCCACTTTTGACCTCCTCCCAGGAAAGGTCAACAGGTCAGCCTGGCCATTTCCAATGAAATGCACACCGTTGTACTCGTCTTGAGACGGTGAATTCAAAACAGTCTTCAAAATTTGCAGAACGATCCTCTGAGTGGAGTTATGGAGGGATTTCTCCCCTCGTGGTTGTTTTACATGCTATCGCGACGAAACGTGGAAGCGTCTTCACATTAATGAATGGAGTCTTCCCGACACGTGGCAGTAGAGCGCAACGGATAGCGAGTGGGTTTCGTAGTCGGGACGTCGTCGGATCGGTTTCCGCCATCTGTTGCCTTTTTGCATTTGTCCAAGAACACGGTTGACAAAGCTTCTAACATCTCTGCTCTCCTGCCCTATCCTATAAAAGGACCTGCAATCAGTTTTTTTGGAAGTGTAGACCCTTTGTGGCCTGAAAGAGTGTTTGTGCTTGTCCCCCTCGTAACACATGTCACAAGGGTTCTTGCAGTGAAATACCATGATATTCATGTTCAGCGGGTCAAATTACCCCTGGGGAGAAGTTTCAAGCCGAATCTGATACTTCGACCTAACTTGGAAAATGTGGGCTATGCTATGGGTGATTGGCCGTAGGCTGGGTTCCACCCACCATCAGTTACTGGTCTCGAAGATGGAATTTCCTACCGTTAATCAGGAAAATGATGCAAACTGCACGAATCAGTGGGCCAGGTGCTGAAAACAGACTGAAGAGCTATTTCAGCTTGGAAATCAGTCATCATCAGTATGCTAGTCGTAGTATCGCTGGTGGCAATCAGTCAGCCATGACTATCCATACCCCATTTTTTCAAAGCTGAGTCAGAACCTCAGATTTCGCCGGGCTGCCGTCCCCATGGGTTATTTGACCCCCTGAACACGAATATGACACCTATATTGTGCGGAAAGCTCGTGAGTCCCGCTACAGGTGCCATCACTTCGGCGCCAGCGCGCCCGGAAGAAGAAAAACAGTAAAAAAAACCTCCATAACTTCGCTCAGAGGATCGTTCTGCAAATTTTGGAGACTGTTTCGAATTCACCGTCTCAAGACGAGTACAAAGATGTGCACCTCATTGCAAATGGCCAGGCTGACCTGTTGACCTTTCCTGGTAGCTCAATGGCTATTTGTGCCATTTGCCTTCGAGCACACACGTTCAACGTGATGAGCCGGTTAGCCGATATCGGCAGTGAACCGCAAGGCTGAAGGCTTTTTACAAGTTTTTAGACTGTTTTTGTTCGTATAACAAAAACAGTTCCCTGCTGTATTTCCTAACAACGATGATGTAAGGATGATGTTTTAGCAGAAGGAAATCGCAATAAGTTCGCGCCAGCCAAGTTGTGATTCTATACAAAAGAGAACGTCGGATGGCGACACAAAAACAGTGGCTCGATCACCACTGATTATTGACCCCTGTCAGTACGTGGTGATATCATATCCAATCGCTAAGCTTACTGCGTTTCAGTTGAATGGTTGAAATTTACAAATGTAATTAGCAGCAGTAAATAATATGTCACTGATATGATAACTAAATTTCACAGCAAAAGCAGTGGGTGTATTCGAAGTGTTCAGCTGGTGCATAATGAAGGGAAAGCTGGTATGCAAGAGCAGAAGGTTTCATGGAGCAGGGATTTATGAACAGGGCACGCCATAGTTAGGGAAATCACATTGCAGAAATTGTATTTCACTGTGAAGGACGGAGAAGGGGTCGTGAGCGTATAACTCATTCAGAAATGGGAACAAGTTGTAAGCTCACGAACGAGCAGCGATACTCAGGTATTGCTCAGTCGGTGGATGATAGATTAGCCTGGTTCTCGTAGTGAAGAATGGCCGAAGAGACATTTAAAGACGGAGGCAAGCTGCAAGCTCGGAAATAGAGAACGAGCGGTGACAAGAAGAACGATAGCGGCCCGCAGCCGAATTGACAAACAACCAAAGGTATTTGTTCGGATTTTTGCAAACCGCAGAAGCACAACTGCTCGCACGGGGAAGCTACATGAAAGTTACAGCCTCTCGACATCTCTGCGTGGGAGTGGGATGCATGCCGCGATACAGAGGCCTCCTTGATTGTACGGCTGTGGATTTTTTAACCTTCACCGTTTCATTTCAAGCGCACAATTCCCTCCACCCCATACATTCTCCGTCATTACATGCACATGAAACAGACAGTTCAGTAGTCGATTCCGGTTTTGCTGGTATTCTGATGGTTAACACTAGCTTCTGATCATCGGGGCAGCGGCTGGAAGTGGTATAAGAGGCAGCGAAGATAGCCTCTTATCTACTCTTAGCGAATGATATACATATGATTACATGTCACCCGTTTTCAATGGCACGGTCACTGAATCTCTGCAATCTGATAGTGCGAAAGCTCTACCGCCATAAACAGCGGCGACGACGCAACGCTTCTTATCAGCCCCCAGCAGCTGTTATCACATTCTGTCACCATCAATGTCCCCATCTCACCCCATATCATTGACTTGAAACAGCCGCCTTGCTCATGATGTGCCCGCGCTATCAATATGGTGAGCTTACCCTTCAAACGCTTTTATCAGCTGTTTAACGAACTTTGTCAGCTGTTAGCATTCTTATTATTCATTCTTAGCGTTCTTATTACGCACTGGTAATGTGCCTATCCCATATCCTATTTCAGATCTTGGGATCAACACCTAGCTGATGCTGTTACCCGCCTTGTGGATATGGTGACATTCCTCTTTTACGAAGAAAAAAGGAGGGGGTCGTAAGATCCCCCCTTTTGGGGGGGGGGGGGTCAGTACGACCCCCTCCTTTTTTCTTACTGTTTGTTTTTCTTTTCGAGCTCGAGCTAGGCACTAGAGCTATATGGCGGCTCTAGGTTGTAAAGGCATAAAGTGATTCCACTCAAAGTTTGGAGGAATACCTGTCAACTTTTGTGACGCAATGAATACCAGGATGTGAAGTAGCGAATGTGCTGATCCCCCCCCCCCCCCCCTCCACCCTACAAAGCCTAAGGCCATGAAGCAATGCGGAATCCGAGGAAATGATGGAAGGCGTAATA